CCCTGGCCTTCGAATTTCACACTGAAAATCAAACACCTCCAAGCTGGAGATGAACATGACACACACACACACACACACACACACCTACGCAGCTCGCACCACACCCATCCTCATATCACCATCTGATCTCACATTTTTCACTTCAACATCTCCAACATTACCTGCCTGCTGATCCCATTCAGCCTGACATATTAAATTCAGTGTTGGTTTCCAAGCACTGCAGTAATTCTAGATTTCCTATTCTATCCGCTCCGATCTTATCCTATTACATTTTGTGTTTAACACACACATGCACACCGGCAGATTCGCCCAAAGGGATTAACCCCTCGGATGTGTTGTTGGCGGTTCCCTAACAATACTTTATCTGCACTATTTTCACACAGCCACACAGGTACTTACAGTACTTGCGAGGTAAAATATACGCTACTCCCACGGAGAATAATTACGAGTTAGTAAGAGAGCTGTGAAAAATAAATTGCAACCAGAACAACTGTCGGTACAGACGAGGCTTCGAGGCAGAACGCAAGATGAGATGCGAAGGCTAATTTTGCTAGCTTTTGTGGTAAGTGTAGAACAGCCAGTGAAAATCCCTGACTTGAAAGGTAGTGATTTTTTTTAATCTGCTAACTGTGGAAAATGTGTATTTAAATGAAAGATTTTTAATGTTTTAATGTTTGAAATAAATGTCATCATTAACAAGGCCAAAAGATAACATCCTTAATACTTCCTTCTTCAGTTTTTTTTGGTGTGTGGTAGTCAGTTTGTACATTTGAAACTGCATCTAACAACTAACACTTTTGCAACATATTCGCTTTTATTTTCAGTATTAAAGTATTAAATACGTCCCTACCCTCACCTATGGTCACGGAACTTTGGGCCATGACCGAAAAAAACAAGATCCCAGATGGAAGCGGCCGAAATTAGCTTTCTCCACAGGGTGGCGGGGCGCTCCCTGGTGAGGAGATCTGTCACCCAGGAGGAGCTCAGAGTAGAGCTCCTGCTCCTCCACATCGAGAGGTGTTAGCTGAGGTGCCCCCCGGACACCTCTTGCGGGAGGTGCTTGGGTCGTGTCCCACTGGGAGGCTACCCAGAGGAAGACTTGGGACATGCTGGAGCGACTTGTCGCTCAGCTAGCCTGGGAACGCCTCGAGATCCCCCCAGAAAAGTTGGAGGAAGTGTCTGGGGAGATGGAAGTCTGGGTGTCCCTGCTCCGACTGTTACCCTTGGACCCAGCCCCGGACAAGGGGACGATTATGGATGGATGGATGGAAGTATTAAATGACAACGAGAATGAGTTCTTTAAATGGTACATGTTCATAATCTCAAGTAGTTCTAGTAGTAGTGTGTTATATATGTAGTATCCTTGTGTATTTTTACTGGTCAGACTCACTTCGCATCCAACCATCCAGACCTGTGTGGCCCCTGAACTGACATGAGTTTGACACCCCTGGTGTTGACCTGGTCTTGACTAGGAGCATGTCAATCTCTGGAGAACATCTCCCACTCCTCCACTCCCACTCCCTCTATCGGCATTACTTACCTCAAATCCACCCCACAGCTTTCTTAGCAAATTCCTCTCCTTTCGTTCTCCTGTTTGCTCAAGAAACGTAGAAGATAAAGCCTTTCTTTAGGCCACTCTGTTGAAATACATCCTGGGCTCAGTTTGACAGATGGACTATAAGACACTCGAGGTTTGTTTGTTTTTTTTTTCCCTTGGAAAAGTTAGAAGCCAATCTACTTTCCCCACAAGTCTGAAGTTTTATTGCCCTCTTCCTCCTCCTCCTCCTCCTCCTCCTCCTGACAACCTTCTCAATCTAATGTATGTACGTCTCCTTCGATGTTTTTTTTTTTTTTTTTTTATCTGTTCGTGCCAGTACTCAAGTGGACGTGGTTGGAGTGACTCGTGGTCCGGGTGAATGGCAGCTCGATGCTGGATGAGTTTATGTAGTTTGGGATTTAAAGAGCTCCAGAGTGTGAAGAGTGGAGAAAGAAACGGAGAGGTCGAAGTTAAAACTGCAGACTGCAGTAAGACACATCAGCTGTACGTTTATAGACTGTGCCTCGGAGGGTTCCAAGCGGGGCGCAGCACATGAGTCCGCAGGGAGTTAAAAAGGATGTTTGTCGTCATGCAGACAGAGATAAGTGTTGTGAGACTGATGATTAGACGGAAAGGGGGTCAAAAGATGGAAAAATAAAAGAGGCGTGATGACGCGAGAGTAGGTTTAAAGTTTGGACTAAAAAAAATAAATAAATGAAGCTTCTTTCTTGAGAACCTAACTAAGATATGCACAAATGTTTCAGTGTTTTGTTTTCTTTATTTCAGTCCACACAGCTTGAGGGCTAAGGCTTGTTCCATTAAGTTGCACTTAAGAAATAAATGCATTCACACGACACACTTTACAGATAAGATCTAAATGGGCTTAGCCAATTACATCGCTCCATCACGATCAGCCTCACAGGCTGGAGTTTCACTCTTATCTATGGACCACCGGGATGTTAAACAATGAAGTGTACTGCCTGGTATTTCATGAACACCACTGCATCCAATTACAGCTGGACTGCCCAATGTGAATTTTCATTTAATTTAATTTGTTAGAAAAATGTTTTGCACATCAACACTTTAAGCGGTCTCCCAAGATTCATCAGGCAATGAAAGTAACAGAATGCATTAAACATTGTGGGCAATAGAGCACATACCCTAATGTAACACTGAAAAGATAAATAACAATAAACATTCGATCGTAAGTGAGGCTTAAAAGGCTATTCAATGAAGCTCTGTTACCTGGCATAACGTCTGAATCAAGAGAAACGATTATCTCTGCACCGTCCTCGTTCGTCTGTCTGTGAAAGCACCAACCTTCCAGACTGGTAAATACAAACATTATCCTATTTTCCAAATAACGTCGTAAGTGGCTCATTTGCTGACGGCCCTTTCTTCGTGCTTCAGAGCAGAGTAGAACACTTAACCAAGCCAACAAAAGCCAACCCACTGCAGATGCAGTCGCCGTCGTCCATCAGAATCAGCTAGTTTTCATCGTGATCAGCACGTGTGTGCTGTGTCTGAGAACGGGAGAGGTTCGGACTCAGACATGTAGTTTGTCTGGAAGTACTTGCTCCAAGCTCACTACTGTATCTGTCATGTACAGGGGGTCTTCGGTTTCCGAAGTCCCCAACCTATGGCCTTTTTTATGGTATTATGTCGCAGTGTGCCATGGAAGCTCCAAGCTCACTACTGTATTTGTCATGTACTGGGGGTCTTCGGTTTCCGAAGTCCCCGACCTATGGCCTTTTTTATGGTATTATGTCACCATCTCCCATAAATCTATCAAGAAAGTCTTGTTCCATCATTCCGACGCACGGCCTTGAGACGACAACGGGAACGGGTTGCCGAGCTGAGTTGACAAATACCCCCGCACAGGGCTCTATATGTGGAAGACGACTTTGTTGTTGTACACCATACATGGAATTGTGCTATATTTGCTTTCTTCTGTTTGTGTTGTTTTACTTGGGAACTTTTAGCCCTTCGTTATGGCTCTCAGGTGTAAGTCAGACTCTTCTGATGTTGTTATGGCCTAGATTATGATGTTACCACTGTGTGTTAGTGTAGGTGAGTGACATAGGTACAGTATGTGAGTTCAGACCTATGGCAAAAATTGAGTCATGTTGCATCTTAGGAATAGAACTCCGACGTCAAAGACACCCTGTATCTGTAATATAATATGTAAGAGTAAGTTACAGAATGACGCACCAACTCCAACACACACAACACCAACATTCAGCCAAACATGATGACAGGGCATGACCATATGTATTTTAGGGCTGCACGCCAATAAGTCGACAATCACTCAACCACTTATCGTTCCTCTAGTTCCCACGTGTCAAACTCAAGGCCCGGGGGCCAAATGCGGCCCGCCAAGTCGTTTTGTATGGCCCGATAAAACATCTTTTAGACTCTATTCTGTTATCGGAGTCTGAATGACATATTATTTTAAAATATTGCCAGATTATCTTTAAATAAAGGAAGTAAATGGATATGATTGGATTTTCTTTGAATGAAATTAGTAACCAGGCACCAAATAACCTATGGACGGGTACTGGAGGTTGGGGACCTCTGATCTATAGAGTCTTCCCTTCAAGGGGAACTGTATTGTTGAGGTGGCCCTCGGTAAAAATGAGTTTGACACCCCTGCTCTAGTTGCTTAGTTGATAAAATTGTTGGTATTTGTTCAAACGAAAGCAAAATGCTTAAAAAATTACCATGTAAACACTCAACATCCAGCCTCAAAGAGCCCAGGACAGTAGGTTAGTCTACAGCTGACCAATAGACTGACACAACTGTCAAATAGATTGTGCCTAAAACCAATCAACTCTTTAAAGCTTGAAATGTTCAGTTATTTTAAAGCTAACCAGACTTAGACCGCATATCCCATCTCTGTTATAACATTACTCCTGTCGCATAAAATCACTTTGTCACATTCATTTATAGTTTCATTTCGTTGTTTATTGTTGGATCTATGACAGAGTTAAATATAATAGTCGGTTTTATGCAGTCTTCCTGTCCACTCCGATCGCTATCTGAAACTGATAAAACAAAACCACTCTGCGGAAAATGACTTAATGGAGCAACAGCGTTGGACGGTCTCCGCAGCATTCACGAGCACACGCTGCAGTGTGTACTTTAAAAATGTCTGATCCGGATTTCTGACATAAGATACACCGTGAGGAAGTCGTAGTGGCTGCATTTACAACCCACACAATACCCAAACAATTTGCTGCTGACTGCTCAGTGAACAGCAGGTAAAGGCAACACGTGTTCCCGCCTGAACACAAATGCCATAAACTGGCATTTATGATTTGGTGAACTTCTGTAAAACTGTGACAACGTGATGTTGTAAATTTACAGCGAGTGGCCTGCGGTCTTTGAAACAGGAACAGCTGCTGGCTTTTCAACTGTTGAGACCTAAAAAAACAAAAATTGGAAAATATAGCAGCATGCTGATGTATGCACACAAAGTAGGGTGCACTGTCAGGGCACACGGCAATTAGAAGAGAGAAACAATGCCCTCGGCCTGAATTGATCCTACAACAACCACCTGCCTGTGTATCGACAGATCTCCAGGGTTTCCCTGCTGCACAGATGCCCCAGGGCCACTTTGTCTCTCGCTTTCTCTCCCCTTGCTGTCTGCCCCCCCCACCCCCCTTTCTCTCTCTTTTCGCGTATTTCCCTCCCTTTTACTCCCTCTCTCCAACCTTCATAGCATGAAGCCTGTTTTTACTTAGCTATCGATCCTCCCTGTTGTAACATGTTCGTAAAAACGACAGCATTGCCTGCGTATCAGGTAGGGATTAAGAAGAAGAAGAAGAAGAATCGCCTTTGTTGTCATTGTACTGTGTATATACAGACTGAGACAAACAAATACAGTATCTAGATACTGTAAGTCCTTTGTATTTGTTCCATCAACCCATTCCTGGACAGCAGTGATCCTCTTACCACAGGTTAGTCCACAGGCCTCGTTAAGGTACCTCTTAAATTTAACTGACCTCTTTACTGTGAGAGGTCACTATTTATACCCTCTCCTGGTCTTTATGACCACCTCAAACGGCTATGCTAGAGAGCAACTCATACACACAAGAGAACGGCGTAGCTCCATAAACAGGCTCCGAGCCAGGCACTTTCTAACATACACATCAGCAGTCGGTTGTTTAGTGTACAGATTTCTGATACAAAGACATAAACTAAACTAAACTACCATGCGACTGCTCTCTACAGGAAGGGTGGGAGCAGACCCTACCTGCTGAGGAGACAGGTCTTTTGGAATGCAAGGGGCACTCCCTAAAACCTTTTCCGACTTTTTGTGTGGTATGCTGGGCCAATGGAATCTCGGCAGCAGGCAGGCAGGCAGAGGCTGGACAGACTGATAAGGAAAGCCGGCTCTGTCCTGGAGTGGCCTCTTGACTCAGTGGAGGTGGTGAGAGAGGGGAGAACGGTAAACAAGTTAGCATCTCTGATGGACAACCCGTCCGTAACCCCCCTGTAGGATACCATCATTGACCTGGGCAGCTCGTCCGGCAGCAGACTAGAACACCTAAAATGCCTGAAGGAGCGGTACTGAAGGTCGTTTCTCCCGACTGCTGTCAGACAGTGCGATCTGGCTGTATAACCGGCGCTACTTCAGGTTCACATGTTCACTGTGTTACGGTAACAACCGTAATATTAACTGAGTGATATTATTACATCCATCTAAAACAGGGGTGTTAAACATACAGCCCGTGGGCCAAAACCGGACCGCTTGAAGTGTCAATCCGGCCCACTTGATGAATTTTGAAAATAAAAAAATACACAAACACTTCATGTTCTGGTAATGTGGTGTAAAATTATATTTCATTAAATATGAAGATGTATTGAATATATTTGTACTTGTACTACATAAAAACAAAAGGTAAAAGCGTTGTTTTTGTTATTTATAGGTAACTATGGTATGGTTGTACTGGTCCGGCTCCTGAACCATTATGTTATTATCAAACTCAGGGCCCGGGGGCCAAATGAGGCCCGCCAAGTCATGTAGTATGGCCTGCGGGAGCTTAAAAAAACTTAATAAAGTCCATACAGCAGAGTTTCTTCACCTGGTAAATATCATTTTTATTCCATAGCAGTGAACAATATTAGTAACTTATATAAATAATAATCAATTGCAGAAACAACTAATAATACATTATGGAGTAGTTACATCTATACAGTCTTCCCCAGTCAAGGGGAACTGTATTGAGTGTGACACCTCTGATAAAGCATCACTCTGCAAGTTTTGGATTTTTTGGTGTGAACTGTCATACAGTACACTTTTTTTTTTCCTAAATCTGATTTCCTCATTTACAACATTAGAAAAAGGAACAAGTCATTGGGAAACATGTCATAGGTTTTTCCTTCAGTTCAACAACTTTCAAAATAAAGGGCTGTGTGACTGGATGGAGGTACTAAATTAGAAACAGACACCATAATATAATCTTTTTCAATAGTTCTGCATTATTCAGTGTCTATCAATGGAGCCGTTTGACCCAGCATGGACATTAAACTGAGTACTTGTTGTCCAAATGTCAACTGTCAAATCAATTGCTCTGGGGTTAGCTTGCATTTCCCCCTTCCTGTACTCAGACAAAACCAGAAAAATGTGATTATAGGCTGGTCGCCAGTCATGGATGATCATGTTAAAAGAACATCTGATTCCTATCACTGCCCGGTCAATCGATGAATCTTTACTGTCATCCAAATATACAGTCCTCTTAGTGCTGTTTCTGGTCACTAACCAGTGAAACAACGCCCACTACAGACAGACTTCTGAAGACGCTGCAAATGATGTACTATAAACCAGTGGTACCGGTTGACTGATCGTAGCTTGTACCATGGACCGGGTAATACTGCATACATTTTCGGAATAAGTTGTCTTTTAGACTTTATTCTGTTAGCATCGGAGTCTGAAATAAGCATCACTTTGAAAACTGCTAGATTATCCTCAAATAAGGAAAGTAAATGTAAATTACCAATTTATTTTGAAACTAAGTAAATAATACTTTCATTGTGGCCCGATACCAAATAACCGACGGACGGGTACTGGTCCACGGACCTGGGGTTGGGGACCCTTCCATTACCAACATTGTAGGTCCTACAAGAAGATCAGTATTTAACAGTTTAGAGGCAGTGCATGCTGGGGAGGAGGATTTGTTAGTTCGACATTTTCCATCTGCATCTGAGACGTGACCAAAGCTGAAGGACAGATGTTAAACCTAGTCAGCCCTCATGGAAAAGTAAAGAAGAAAAGGCTTTTGTGACATCAATCTAGCGGTGGGATGGAGAGAAATTGAAAAAAAAAAAAAAATCACACAAAAGGAAACGGATGACACAAGGACAGAAAGGCAAGGAAAGCGTAAGGGAAAATTGATGCGTAAATGAATTTCAAGGCAGAGTGAGATGACACGAGGAGATAAAAACAAAATGGAGGGTTAGATGGTTTCAGCTGGAGACAAATGGTAAGATAGAGAAGAGGCAGCAGCAGCAGCAGCAGCAGCAGCGGCGTAGTAATAACATGCTCTCAGTAAAAACTGTTTGCTCATGACAAGATAAGGACAGCCATCGCAGCCTGAGCTTCCATTTTTGTTCATCCCCAGAGGTAAATCAATAACACTGAATTGAAAACTCCTTTTTGACACATTTAATGATGTACCGGTGTTCTGACATCACAGACATTTACCCAAAGAAATGGTGTTTACACATCAATTGCGGGACCACTGCAAAAGAACTGACATCGCACATCAATCAGGGATCACATTCAGACCACAATCTCAAGTCTTAAGTTGTCTTCATTCTTTCGTCTTCATTTCTGTCTTTTATCCTTACAGTAAATTAGAGTTGGTTGAAGACGTTGGTAGCTGCATGACGGCCCTAAGCCAATGTTAGATTGTTGTTTAGAACGTTCTGTTATGACCACAAATTGGAGAAGTTTTATAAAAGGCACTTTATTTAAGGCAGACTTCTAGTCAAGTAACATCTTTAAAATATATATATACATATATAAAAAAAAAGTACTATATTGATCCAATAATTGGGAAATTGTTGTGTAAAGAAGAAGATATGCTGTTAACAGGCCCCAAGCATGTGATTCCTGTGGGAATCGAACCCAGCACTCTCTGTTCTCTGCTTCCGAGGCAGGCATGCTAACCCCTACAATATGGAACCGACTGAAAAGTATTACCTACACGCCAAATGGGAAGTGAACCCACAACCGCTAGCTTAGCCAATGGGGCATGTGGCCTGGGAAGTGAACCCACAACTGCTAGCTTAGCCAATGGGGCATGTGGCCCAATGGATACCTATTTAAATTCCATCATCAACATCCCTTTCGATTCAATTCCGTATATCCGTTTGTCGATTATACGAACAAACGACAGCACAGGATGGGTTTAACACAACAGGAAATTAAAGACAGAAAACACCGTGTTGCAACTTCTACAACCACAGTCATTAGCACCATGCTACCGGTAGCGTATACGTAAAGACGACCGATACATGGTGTGTCGCTGCTTAGCCCTGCATGCTGCAGTCTACGCATTTGGCCTGCTTTGTTCTCGTCAACACTCAGATGTGACATGCAACCGGACTTCAGACCGCTTCTGCCTCGACATCATGTTGTGAGGGCTCAAAGCCAAGACTCAAGCAGAATCATTAATCGATCAACGTAACAATTCAAAGGAACCGGACCACGGGGAACTGGTTCTCTGCAAGAGCAGGGTCTCTACAAGAACACATCTATTATGGAGGAGGAATTAACTCAAAGATGACAAAGACGTTTGGGTCACAGAAGCCTGGCTGAACACAAAGCACTGCCATACAGCAAAAAGATCACTGTTTCAAATCCCAACTTTAGTTTCTGTGAGGAAATGCACAATTCTGCAGAGTCTGAAAACGTGCAGAGCGGACGTTAGCTTAGATTTTGGGTCTGAATGTGATTGACTGCTTGGAGTGGCAGAATGGGATTACGGGGAATAAATGGCTGGCTTTATGGATGGATGGATGATTGGATGGTCTGTTAAACAGACTGGTGGATGGATTTGCACAAATGAACCTAATATTTTACACATACAGAGGTAGGAATCACGCTCTGAGTCTTGACTAGAAATTATTTAAATGTAAAAGACACTTTTTCTGTTAAAAACAAAATATCATCTGCTGTAGATAGCTCCAGGCCGTGTTTCCCTGCATGGCTCGGACATGGCCATAAACAAAGAACTCCATTGTGCGAAGGCTTATTACAAGCCATCTATCACACAGACAAAACACACAGACACTGCAATTTCGATTGTAAAATATTTGTCCGAGAATCAACCATTTTAATGTAGAGAGCAAAAGCTTGTGCTCATGCATAAAATCATTACGAAAAAAAAAAAAAAAAGCAGCAAGCAGCAGGTTTGGCTGTGACTGACGCAGCAGAGGCCAGTTGGCTTGTGGAGCTGGGTTTGTTGACTCCCCAAAGAAGCCCGAAAGAATGTCTCCTTCATCCTCGGGTCATGATGAGTGAACTGCTTTGAAGAGGGTTGGAATAATGAGGCTAATGCTATGTAACAAGGCAAGTTGCTGCACAAAACAATGCCAAGAAAGCAGAGCTGCAGCCTTCGGGGGGAAAGACACAGAGGGCAGATGATGCACACAGAAACTGGAAAAGAACAAAAGACGGCACAGGATCATTTTCATTTTTCCAGCTGCGCTAATGTTTTGCCTCTTCCTAAAATATAGAGCCGACCAGTTGCACGGAGGCAATAATAATCGTTGGATCGATCCTTGAAGATGTGTACATTTGCTGAAACAGAAGTAACCGGGCATTTTCTAAGAAGGACCGTTCAAACAAATACAACTGGACCTAAAAGCGTGGGTGTGTAAGTCTAAAATAGCTGCAGCAGAGTACACTTGAAAAAGCGGCTGACCATTAAATCCCAAAGCCCTCGATGACGTCACCGCTCTTGTTAAAGCTCTGCCACCAGAACACTGAATGTCACTGTCTTAAATAAAACACAGAATTATGGCGTCGCTACCACGGCCAGTTTTTCCAAGACCGCTCGCGTCAGGCTGTCAAAGCCATTCCTCGGGGTGCCCCTATTCAATCAGGATTAGTTGCATGATCAAGTGTGATTAATGGGTTTGTTGTTTGTTTTTATTGCCACTGCCGGGGCATTGACATTTTATCTAGTTTATTACAGTAGGACACAAGTTACCCTCAGAGCCCAGCGCCGCATTCATAACATTTAACAGGCGTCTTGAGAGCAGCAGGAAGTTATATATTTATGTATCTGTTTTCCATTTGTTTCTGAACAGGTACCAACACAAACATTTGTCTTTTATCAGCGAGCAGCAGTGTCCAGTATTGAGTGTCCCTTTACCCTCCCAGCAGCTGGGACTCCACCGTGC